TAATAATAATAATAATAATAATAATAATAATAATAATAATAATAATAGAAGCGGAGTCTGAATGCATAATATTACTAAATTAGCCTAAGAGTAAACTAAAATAAAGACAAGTATTAAAATATCAAGAAATGACGAAATCTTTTATCAAGTAAAATAGTAATGAAGGAAACAGGTGAAAATGAATGTTTCGGTATACTAAGTCTTATACGTTCTTAATCAGTACTGTAAGCCTTACGGAGAAAATTTTGAGTTTCTGCGCCGAAATCCTTTAGAACCCTGGTCTCTCACACTTTTTTCCACATCAGTGCCAATTGTTTGCGCACTGCTGCGTCATTGCCGGATGTTGTTTTCCGATGAGTTATGTGGCCTGCAGATATTCTAACCAGCCTGCATCGTTGTAAATGAAAAAGTAGGAAATTTTATGCGATTTGACAGGGACAGACGCTTGTGATCGTTCTCAGAAAAGGCATCATTTCATCTTCAGACATGCTTCTTCCTGTACTACCGGAGGACAAATTGTCGAACCAGTAATTTTGCGTTTTTTATACAAATATAGGATGGTTGCATGTCCCTCATATTCAACGTTCTGCCTCCAGCAACCGTAACGAAAGCCGCTTTTTCATTTGTAGGCTTATCCCGTTCATCCGAAACTGCATCGGGCACTGAACTTTAGCAACTACAGGAAAATGCATGAAAAAACCTAAAGACAAGATCAACTTGAAATCCAGGAAATGTCTCGCGGCCTATCTGCACTCTTCGAACAAGATGTTCATCCGAACCATGACTGTCCGCCCCACCGTAACAAGAACTGAATATCAGCAGTTCAGGACACTCAGGACCCGCCATTACTAAACAGACAGGCGCCAAGGTGGGAAAAACCCTGCACAATCAGATTAAACCCACACAGCACCGGTACAGCCTTCACTCCCATCCACGAATCATACTGAACTGTTACAAATCGTTCCTGTGTTCAGACTTAGGCAACTTTTCAAAAATACACCTGGACGTCCCTCTTGTCTGTTGAAATTGACTATCGTGCCTGTCGAGTACCAGATTTACAAGCAATCTTCAAACGAATGGCAAATTCAAACGATGGTGTACTCAAATCACTAAGCATAAGTGCAAGAAATACTCTCGCGTTTTATGTAACGTTAGGCAAATTACGCTTTCCAGGACAGAGTAACCATGGAAAGCGTACCACAAATGACGACAGACAAGCAGCCAAGCGCTATAAACGCGAATAACGGAGTGTACGAAATATCAGCACACTGCGAAAATAAACCAAAAGTTCATTTATTTCAATCAAAAGTTTACTGCTAATAAGCATATAACAGCAGAAGAGACAAGGAATTGGTATAATTGTCATTTGTATGAAGACATGTTAGGATGCAGTCTGCATTTCATCCCTTAGCTATAAACACAGACCGAACTCTGCGTGCGGTAGGAGTGGGAATCATCAGTACAGCTTTCTACCCGTCACATATTGAATAGTCATGTGACTAATTTGCAAGATGAGCCGATGAAAAGAGCGGGAGAGAAAAAGAGAAAAAAGTAAGAGGACAGAGAGAGAGGGGTAAGTAACTCGTGGTATGGACAACCACTGTCTGTCATTTAAGAGCTATAAAGTTTGAGTGTGGTGTGAAAAAGGTAGATTTTTTCAAAATGCTAAAAAAAAAATCTCGCAGTCAATAAAAAAATGAACCAATTAAAATCCACTCCAAGTATAAATTTTAATCACGCTTTACCGTAATGTAGAAATGGCAGTGTTCAAAACGTGATGATGATTCCCAACACATACCAAAGAAATCTCAAAAAGGCTAAAGCCTTTCATCCGTGCTTCCGTACGGAAAAGTTGATAAGCTTTTGAGAGGTAAAATGAACATCAAACGCAGAAGTGGTGAACCGAACTGTGAACTAACTCAAGTATTTCGAGTAAGTTTCGCGAGTTAAAAAAAATCGATCAAAACCATACAAACTTTGCAATAAAATACTTAGAAATAATAGAAGTAAAATTACAGAGAAATACGGAATCTAGGAAGGAGAAAAATTCAGCTCATTTTCTTACTGCGCTTGAAAACAACAAACGTTTGCAGTGGACCGCATGGAAGTGGAAGAAAAAAAAAATTTATAAACTCTGCGATACTACTGCTGTGGGTATAAGTTCCAGCAAATACATTAGCCTTAAGACCGCCGTCTAAAGCAATTATTTCGAATTATCTTGCAACATCTTTTTGCTGTCAGTCGATGTGGTGCTTGTGAAAAATCACGACGCTTTTTTTTTAAAACTACTTGCACGCCCAGAGTTCATGCATTCTTTAAGAGTGCCATTAAATTCTTCAAATAAGTGACTTCTTTTTCGAGCCAAATCTGTTCCGTTTTCAGCTGCACATTGCGTAATTCGAGCTCATGCAATTCTTCCTTTTTCTGCTTTGCTTTCTGACGGCGCTTATCTGCAAATCTTGTGTTGAAAGGTCGTCAGTCAAAACATTGACCAAAATCCACCAGGAAAAATAAAGACGAAATTCACTAGATCAAAAAGAAGAAAAAATAAATTTGTGCTTTTCTCAAAACCAAAATCAACTAGGATAACTGCTGATCGCTCGCTTTCCCAGGAAATTCTTGGAGAACGTAGCCAGTTGAAACACATGCTATGTTAACAGTCCACTTATCATCAGAACAAAAAAATAAGGTGGATCTGATCTTATTACAGACGGCAGTGACCAAACGACATTCGCTGCGAAGCAGGGTGTAAATTCACTCGAAACTTCATCACTGAGATATCGCCCAAACTAAAGCGTTTCAAGGCTATAATATCTATGCAACTGAGTCAAAAACTGACCTACTAGCCCGATTTTAATGGCCTCTCTTCAACACCCACCGGATCCGAAGAATCAAATTTGCACTTGAACGGATGTTAGGATAAAAATTAGATCGCTGATATGTGACAACAGCATCTCCATACCCCAAGATATCAGCTAAGTAAGCGAGTGCTATGCCGACTCATTAATGATAGATGAAACAGCCTCCGAGCAATTACCAGAGGCAGAGTTTCGCTCATAGCTAAGAAAAGCAGGGGACTTTTTGAGTACCTCGATATCGAATCGCTGCATTACGATTCTGTTCTCTTACTCGTTCCTTTCTGCGATCTGAACAAGCTGGCAGTGCCATACTCCAAAATTTTCGCAAATTTCCACTGCTGCTACCGGCAGTATCATAAACTCTTCCTGAGTCTAATTCTGCCTAAAATAAGTTCAATCAAAAGCTCCGCCAACAGCATTTTTTTTATTTCTTGCTGTTTATAAAAATAAGATTTTCGTAACGCTGCAGGAACTGATCAATCGAACATGAATCAGAAGGTCACTCTGCTAACAACCAACCAGCCGTCGCGTATCAGCGAATGAAACTGCCAGAAAGCAAATGACCATTTGCGAGTCGAAATGATGAGAGTAGTTCTAACTTTACGGAAATGCAGCTCATGACGAAAAGGCTTTGTTTCCAGTAAAAATATCCGATTTTTCACACTGGTTGCCCAAATAATTCTGGTAATTATGGCAGTATTTATAAAAGCAACTAAGCCATCCCGTTTGGTCGGCATCCACTCGAAAGAATAACTCCCAGCAAAAGTGTTAAAAATCGCTGTTGCCCAAATAGACAACCAGTAAAGTGTTTCAGAAATTTTAAAGATGCAAACAATGAATATCTCTGGCTAGGGGACTGGAAGAAGACGGGGCCTGAAGTCTTCTATGTGTTAACATACGCAGTAAATGCACTCGTTACCGGGTTCAGGTTTGAGTTGCGAATGATGTGGCATCGGGTTTTCTCTCTAGATAAGGTTGCTTCAAGACTGCAAACTTCCGCCCAACATCAAATTACAAGTTGAGCATGAAAAACCCTTTACGGGCGTCCCTCTTCTGCCTTTGTTTCCAACCCTCACCCGCCTCTTTTCCCAACCTTACCTCCTACCACCTCCGTCCTCATCCTCCTCTCCTTCCGTCTCCAGTTCTTTACCCACTGCTTTTAGTCCCCCAGCTTGCTTCGCGACCCGTTCGATTCGAACTTTTTTAGTTGTCCCCAAATACGACGATCAGGAAGATGTGAAGAATTATTGCTCAATCTGCTTACTCTCCTACGTTTACAAGCTGTTCACGAGGATTAAAAACTGACCGACTGTTAAGTGATGAACATCAGCCGGGGAATAAACTGGATTACAAAGTAATTAAAGCATCGCAGATAACAATCCCTAAATCAGCTGCCGAAACGCTCAAGGGAGTATCAGTTTTTTCTGCGCCTCCTATGAATAATATAGAGCTGAATGCCTTGCTTCGAATGCCTATGCTACAATTGTTACTGAAGCGAACATGCGTTGTCCGACAGTTATCCACTCCACTTCGCCATGCTACTTTTCCATCGGACAGTAGATGGACGCCACGTACAAGTGAGTGGTACTCTTGAAAAAGTAAACGGCCACTTGCGTAGCCACTTAAGAAGTGGCGTGTACACACATCATTTCTGAGCAGGCAGTGGGTATTACAACAAATATAGAGCCCAAGATCGATCGGCCCGGCACAGTCGCCCAGCCAGTAATATTACTAATACGGGCACTCCACACTGAGATCCAGGTATTTTTGGTTTTATTTCTCTCTGTCTTCCACCTCTTCTTTTCTTCCCTTTCTTGTACGCTACGTACGCACATTAAATCTTCATCTGAATTATCTTCGTTACCACAATCGTCGTACTGATGGGGTCCAATTGCGGTAACGGTAAGATATGCGTACGACTTAATGGATCGAAACATTTCTTACCAATTACAAATATTTATTTTAATACTCCTCTTCCCTTTTTTCATTTCGCTCTCCTTGTCTTCTTTTCCCTTCTCCTCATTTCTACCTCACCTTTAAATGCAAAAACAGTTCAAACTGGCCTTGAGTTGTACCAATCTCATAGTTTTGCATGCAGCAGTGTCTCCGCTAAACGGTTTGCTTTCACTCTTGCGTTTTTTCTTCCTTCCCTTATCGTTCCCTATATTCTTGGCACCAATGCGACCATCCTCGCTTTCAAATGAAGAGCTGTTGCAAACTGGCGGCTGCAGTAAATCCTCTTTCTAAAAAGCAAAAAATCCTTCCTAATTCAAAATTCAAGCAAAAACGACTGACTTGAGTGAACTACAATGTGACCTGAGTATAAATAGAGGTCAGAATTCAAAAACAAACTTCCGGCTCTCTTCCCTTGTAACCTCATCTCAAGAACAAATTCTGCCCAGTGCCATAATTTCAGATTTGAAAAAGACCCGTTAAACCTTGTAGGCCTGCTCACTAGAGCAATTTGTTCAGTTTTTCACCCACTACAAAGAGGCGACTGTTTGTCAAGGATGAAAGGGCTAAAGTGAAAAGATAAGGCTGGCCAGTGCAAAAAAAGTGGTTAATTTTTGCGAAAGTTCCAAGGAGGGTCGAGCAAATAACTTCCGTTTCGCAAAAACGTTTTGCCTTTTTTTGGGCAAGCTGCGGCAACCAAGAAAAAAGTTCCTTCAAAAATTAACCTCATTAAAAATTTCACTGCTTTCCACCTCCTCCTCCGAATGCATTGGTACCATTCCCACATCCTGTCTTGGTGCAATCACCAAAGCATCTGTACAACTTTCCATCGAGAAGTCATCATTTTTGATAAAATCACTGACGCCGTACACGTGCATAAACTGCTCCAGCCACGATGGCTCAGTGGCTTCGCTTTCGCCATCCAATTTGTTTGAAACTCTCGCATCATCATTTGGCATTGTGTCGTAAGAAAATGACCATTTTGATATATCGCTACTGGAATCTTTTTCATCGTCATCGACATGGAGCACTTGCTCAGGTGACCACTCAAAATCGAAGCTTGGTCGCCTAGAAACAGCAAAAATGATAGAGAAATATTTACAGTGGTAACAAACAATCGAATGTCTATCACTGAGGCGTCTCAGAAAGCGCATCTACGGTTCACAATTCAGTGCTGCTGAAAATGATCCCATCAAACATCGCTTTAGTCTTCAACGGTCTTCGGTTTCTCTTCAAAGTACTTTTTGGAAGCAAGGAACCAACTGAAGTCTTGTTCACGAAGCATCGATTTTGGGGAGGAAAAAATGAAATGGCTGGCGTTACAGACATCGTTATTAGTGGATGACTAGAACAAATTCTAAAGAGAGAACCTGGAGTGGGCGTCCAATACGGAATTGGTGTCATAGCCGATGAAGCAGTCCGAAAGCAGGCTGCCCGATTCTTGAGTGGCCTCCCAGAGGGATTCCGGGTGGAAGAAGTCCCTGTCTGCTTGCTCCAGCTGGAAAAAATAAAAAAACCGTAAATCTTCCAAATATTTACCTCAATAATGTAATTCATTCACACATTTTAGAATAATTTAACACCATAACTATTAGCAAGAACACAGTGCTGTGTTATCGAACCAGGGAGAGCCTGATAAAGACTGTTCGGAAGAGCATCAGCAGCTTCACGTTGACAATCCTCGGAAGAGACCAAAAAACCGCGCCTGCAGCTACAAGAAAAAAGTGTGGGAATACCTGATGCATGTTTCTGTAGACAAGAGAATTTTTTTGCAGTATCTGCTATGTGCTTCGCAAAATTTGACACAATGAAAGAGTATCTGAAGGGTGCCATGTTGAACCTGAAAAAATCAACCGAGATGAGCGCCGGCTTGCTCGATCCAGCTACGACATTTTGAACTTCTGATATTGTTTTTGACTGCCGGCCATTACATTCTCCTCGGTGGCGCATTCAGTGTTCAATAACAAAATGCGCTTATTGCCAGAATTACAGCCTCCTCCTACGCTGCTGCCTTTCATTTGCTTAAGCTAACTGAATGTTAAGAACTTAAGGAGGGCGAACTATGTATGGGCAGATGTAGAAATATAGCTGGTGTGGGAAAAACTAAATACCAAAGAGTTATGACGTTTCGGTTCATTAAGTCATATACGTCTTAGCTCAACACCACGGCCGGACCTCGTCAGCATGACGGTCGTGGTGTTAATTTTGCGGTTTGGGATGAAGAAATGGGCCTAAAAATCAACGCATCGAAAACAAAAAATCGATGTTTAAGCACAGCTAGCTGAAGACACCAAAATGATGCACATCTATGGGATATCTGCACCTCTATTCAGAAGTGGTTACTCTCTGCCATGTGATGATTCATCCAACGTGTAATTGTCGATTGTATGCACCCACTGGTAAAAAATATATTGCAAAAAAATAAAGAGTGAAAAGATGAGAATTTTAGAGGCTGCCAGATCTGTTTCCGAAAAAAACACCTCTTCCGGTTTTTTCTTTTTTTTCTGTACCACAGTCCTCAACAAACTGTCTTCCTGGGAAAATTTAAAAAAAAAAA